GGGGTGTCAGACCATGTGAAGTCCCGGCTTTTCTGCATATGACATTCCAGATGAATAAGAAATACTCCTGCAAAGTTTAAAAGAAGTTCACTTGCTGCTTCAAACGTAATAACTTCTCTAAGCTAAAGTAACAAAAATCGCCGTGAAGCAATTTCCACGCTAATCCTTCCCAGGTACTTCACTTTGGCTCGCTCTAACATGGCTAAGTGGAGACAGCAGGCCCTCTTGAAGCTGAAATTGGTCCTTGATTAATTTTTCACATGCATAAATACGATTGTTTTCATTTTTCATATGAAAGGGGTGTTAATTTAGTTTGTAAAATATCCCCTTCCAGCACCAGACTGGGATCGCCAGCGTTCCGCCATGTTAGGAAGGGCCAATGTGACATTCAAGATTCAAGATAGTTAGTGATATCAAGAGGCGATTTCGCCCACTTCGATATCACGTGTCGAGGTCGAGCGTTCCTTCATATATGATGATGTACCTGGTTTAAGTGTATAATTTTTATAAAGGACTTTCATATATTGTATATACATGTTCAGCATGCAAGCTTTCACAACAAAATATATTGCTAATATGACTCATTAACTCATAAAACACAATATCTTCCTCCAGGGGAGGATTTGGCAAATTCTTAACAAAAATCATTAACAAGATCCTTCCTGTAACCCCACCAATTTTGCATCTAAAGTGTTTAATTGATCTGCAATTAGAAGAGCTGAGATCCTCCCTAATACAGATGCCTAACTTGTTTCTGGCATAAAACACGCCTCCACCCTTTTTTCCGAACAATATTTNAATTAATTTTAGGTTGCCCGTGTTCAAGTGTTGGGGGGAGGGGTAGGGGAAGACTCACAGTCCAATACACTTCCAATTTATTGCGATGGTTTTTGAAAACAGCGTAAGCAACAAATGAAATTAATATAGGTATGAAATAATTTTTAACGATGATAATATATCTGCCATTTTTAGGTACCACTGAAATTTGCTTGAGGTGGAGGACTGCGCGGAATATTATGAGGTAGTAAGGAAATGGAATGGAGGAATGGGGAGGCCGTAGTGGGATTTTGTTCTGACGTGGCTCAACACTGTCAGTGGGTTATGGCAGCCTGCAGAAGACCATGATCACGATTCAGCGGCTCAAAGTTCGTCTCGCCCATCCGCGGCATTCCAAGCGCCTTAAAGTCTTTTTCATTGCCCTTCTCTTGGGTTTGGGTCTCATATACCTCTACTTCCAACACGGCACGGGGAGCTTCAATCGCAGCAGCGCCGATTCTCATCTAGAGCGTTTAGCCCGTCATTCCAAGAATCAGGTGAGCTTTGTAGGAGAGTGAATCCAAGGATGCTCGAACCCCTCCCCTCATTTATAGTGCCTCCTTCACCCCTCTTTTCTGCCGAGCCTATCCTTCCGCAAGATGTCGTACCCTTCGATCTCGAATTCCTTATCCGAAATGTGAGAACCGCCCCAAGTCTCGGTTGTTCCGACATATTTGGCGAGGAGCAATCATGTGCAGATTGCTTCTTCGTTGGGATTTTCGATACCTCAACTAAGGAATATTATTGAGTTTTTCGAACATGGTGGAAATCTCTCTTCTTTATTCGAGATGTCAAGTGCAGAAAATTCTGAGACTGGCGGGATAACGAATTAAGGTATAAACAAAATTAAGGCTTACAAACAAAACTGGCGCTCTTTTTTACAGTAGAAACCTAAAGTTCGCTCAGCAGGCAGGTAAACTCCTAAAGATGTGCAAGAAAAATCGATTAAAGTTTCAAGGTAGTGAGATGAGACCATTCAGAGAAAACTTGCTAACTTCCGAGGTATAACGGAAACGGGCGGCGCCATTGCGGGCGCCGGTTTTCTTCTTTCCCACTTCACTATTGGGCCGTTGATGAGTCTAACTGTGAGGCAGTGTCGAGATGAATAAAGGCAATATCAAAAGCTTTTAGTGTTTAATCGATGTAGGCGAATTGTGATGCATGTATCAGCTTCATTTATCAGGCTGATGCATGGTATGCATTTTTTTTTTCAGCAATTGTCCTGCTAAAGTGAGAACATAAATTTCAAGTCATTAACTCCAGTAGTTTCCTCTTATGCAACAATGGGTTAAGTCCTCCCTCTGCCTTTTGCCCACATCCTTCCTGATCCCTCTGAGGCATATTCTTGATGCCTCACTTGCTCTTGTTCCTTCTGAAACTCGAACGAGTTTCACTGTTTTACCCTGCATGAAAAGTAGGGTTCTGTCTCTTACTTTTCTGGCTAAGTTGAAATCAATCAGAATTGATCATATCAAATCAGTACATTCCTGTTAAGCACTATGAATTTGGTCTGCAAAATCAGAGCAGCCAAACATAAAATTGCTGAGAATTGGACCACTTTATATAAAATGACCTACAGAATCTTCTTATTTGTCCCTCAGCATAAGTCTCAATACCCACTACTAGAAAGAATAAATAGCACATTATCTAAAGTTTATTATATTTGAAAGCAGTAATTAATTTTTTAAATGACATTCTGAAGGTTTGACATTTCCTGCTCTTGATTAAATGCTCAATTTTTCAAATGAAGGATAAATCCTTACATGTTGCACATCCCACTTGCATGAATTCCTCTTAACAATGGCAGGGTTTGGCCTCTTTGAGAAGGCAATATGAGCTGATGACATACAGGCAAGTAAAGACCTAGCCACTGAATTAATTCCACTAGGTGCAGCAGAGAAAAACCAGGTAGGCCTACAGGCAGGGGCAAAGTAAAATAAAATACCTATTTCTTAAAGGAAAAGGCACCTGAAATTAAGCAGGACCATTGACTGGAAGCCCATGATTCACTTATTAAATTTTATTGTGTAACTTTTTGTTTATGAGAAAGTGAATAAGACTCCTAGGTACCATTGTCTAGCATCCCAGGTCATCTCAGACACCATTATTGATGAAATTGGTCATGTTAACTACTAAGTCCATGCAAGAACTTATGACAACATAATGGCTTAAAGGACCCCATATGTCAGGGTCCTTCAAGCCAGGTCATTCTACCTACCATAAAAAGAGTAAATCACATGTCAAGCTGGAAGAAAATAATTTTAGTCTTCTCATATTTTCAATGGATTTTTGCTAGTAAAAAAATATTAAAAAAGGCCTCCTGGCACATGGGCTTTACTCTCTTTTATAATTTACAGTTCAAGTCATGATTTCCCTCAAGAAGTAACCCATGTATTTTCTGCTCATTTTCATCTATGGTATCTTCAAATAATGAGTCTGTAAAAAAAAAAAAAAACAGCAAGAAATAACTCTACATGGAATCATACACACATTCATTGTCCATAGTACAGCAAAGCTGAATAACAATGGCATTGTCTCAACAGTTTTATGATAGCATCTTGTTGGTTGAGAGTAACCTGAGGGAGAAAAACCCTGCACAAGCCAATTCAATGAGCAACTAATTCTTTTTCATGTTTAACTGTGCAGCAATGAAAATTCCAACATTGTAACTGGGCAGACTGCCCAATTATAAAAACCTTACTGGAACCCTGCACTTCAACCACACAGCATCCAAAGTGCATCCAGTATATTTACTTTCAAATAGGAAAAACACCTTTTCTGCCTCAGACTGAAAACTTCTGGGAGCAGCCATTTCTTCATTGATGCGGCATATTAGCTGGTGTTCCTACATTACATGCACACTGTAAGCTTCCAATATTGAAAGCAACATGAGGATGATGTCAATGTCAGCATGAACAGATTTAATGGTAACCTGTAACCTAACTCTTGACACCATGAGGTCAGGGCCGGATTAACCCATAGGCTTATAAGACTATAGCTTTGGCCCTACTTTAAGCCCTCCATTCCAGATTTTCTTTGCAATATGTAATTCATACTTAGGTCTCTCATAACCTTAATCCAGCCCTGCATGAGGTGATGCTCATCAGTTGACAATAGAAGCTGAACCTTTGGCTTCATACAAAGGAAGGCCCCTTCTTCCTCTATCTGTGCCCCCCTACCTCCCCTACTACAGCTATTAATAGACATGAGACACCATCATTGCTCATGTGATAGTGTGTGTCCACCAATGGACACAGATCCCAGTATAAGTTGTCTGCTCATAATGATGTTACATTCCGTCAGCCTAAGTGAGAAGTTTGTGCGTCTGGACATGAACTTGTGGAGTACCATAGGTGTGTGATATGATTGCTCTCACTTTGCTTCACTCTTGTCATCACATAAGTCTCTCTATGAAGGTAAAAAGCTTCAGCACAACACATTCAAGGTATTCAGATAAGCAACAAAAATTTGGAAGGGAATAGAAGTAGGGACTGGGTTTCAGTGGCATCTAGTGAGATGCACAAATTAGGGATGACTGAATTGTTATATGAAGACAGCATTCAAACTTGAGCAATGCCTGCCTCCTGTTATTCATGTGAGTTATGATATGTGAAACAAAACTGTCTTCTAAAATATATTCTAATACCTGGGCAAAGTGTTCACATAATGTAGCTGATGGTCCCTAATAGTCTATAGGACATGTTCCAGAATTGACAAAGAGTTGAATGTGAGGGTAGCTTTTTTCTTGATTTTTTGGTACACCAAGCTTGCCAGTTTCCCCTACTCATGCAGAGTCTGATAAATGTCAATATGGGCTATGGTGGAAAACACAATCGGCTTCTCTGGAATATCTTAGGAGCCGCAGAGAAGTGCAACAGAAAAACTTGCTGAAACTGATACTACTTAATGTGCAAACCTATAGCACATTTTTATCTTTCGGCATCATTCATTCACATTGATCGATGACTATTTTCAAGCAGGAGTTCATATTATGTTCACTAGGACCTGGCCTAATGTGTTGTATGCCTTGGCTCTGCGTAATAACAAACTCACATGGAGAGGTGGGGTTAATAGGAGCAAACTCATACGTCGACAGGAGGAAACAGGAAAGAGGGGTGAAGGAGGCACTATAAATGAGGGGAGGGGTTCGAGCATCCTTGGATTCACTCTCCTACAAAGCTCACCTGATTCTTGGAATGACGGGCTAAACGCTCTAGATGAGAATCGGCGCTGCTGCGATTGAAGCTCCCCGTGCCGTGTTGGAAGTAGAGGTATATGAGACCCAAACCCAAGAGAAGGGCAATGAAAAAGACTTTAAGGCGCTTGGAATGCCGCGGATGGGCGAGACGAACTTTGAGCCGCTGAATCGTGATCATGGTCTTCTGCAGGCTGCCATAACCCACTGACAGTGTTGAGCCACGTCAGAACAAAATCCCACTACGGCCTCCCCATTCCTCCATTCCATTTCCTTACTACCTCATAATATTCCGCGCAGTCCTCCACCTCAAGCAAATTTCAGTGGTACCTAAAAATGGCAGATATATTATCATCGTTAAAAATTATTTCATACCTATATTAATTTCATTTGTTGCTTACGCTGTTTTCAAAAACCATCGCAATAAATTGGAAGTGTATTGGACTGTGAGTCTTCCCCTACCCCTCCCCCCAACACTTGAACACGGGCAACCTAAAATTAATTGGAGAACCATAGAAAAAGTAGCAGAGTTCTGCGGAAGCTACTAAAGCAAGCGGTACCCAGATGTCGATCAGGAACGTAGCCAAGAATTCTTTTCATTGTTGTGTCCTATGGGTATTTCTTCTGGCTAGTTTAACCCCTTCACTGGCAGATTTCTGACACGCTACGAGGGAATTCCGAAAATCAATAGGCGTGGTAGCGCCTATTACCTTTCTTCAACCCTTCCCGTCACCAAATTCAACCTCCTCATATTCCTCTGAGTGTATTAACAAGAACTAATTGGGCATGCTTTTTGCTCTCAAAACAGAATCGTTCCTGCAAATTTGAAGCTCCATCTCCCTGGGGTTGTGGAGAACACTAAGGGTTACATGAAATGCAATTTGCCATCATTTCGCATTTTACTTATTCGTGAACGACCCTGCACGACGACGAGGAGTAGTGGAGGACTCTATTCCTAATATATCTATTAGACCTAAAAAACAAATTTTCAGTGAAAAAATACGTCAAGGAGTTAACACGAAGCGATACGATTGCACACGATGCAAGCCGTACAGCCCTTCCATTGCGACTGATGAAAATAATCCAACATTATCGACGAAAGAGGGCCTCTGGACCTACTCTATTACAATCACGAACTGATGTCTAAATAAAATGGAGCATTATGGAAAATGCTCGGTTCAAAAATCGCTTCTTTGATAATAGAGTATTTTCCAGGAAATAAAGCTGCATTATCGGATAGTTCTCTGTTCAAAAATCCACTCTAAATCTCGCTTCTTGAAGATGTGAATTTCATTCCGGTATTGTATTTATTTCTCTCCCCACCCCCTAAATATTGGTAGCCACTCCTGGGGGGTTTTGGAAGAGAGATATTGACTCATCCTGCAGTGCTATGATGTGCATAACATGTGTGACTTTTATTTTGGGAGATGGCTTGCACAAAAATGCCAGTCCATAAAGTAGGAGACCTAAATCTCGAAAGACTGCAATTCGAATTCGCTTGTACAAGTAGGGATGTACTTCTTGAAGCCGAAGATTGTGAATCTGTAGTTGTTGACTACATGAAGTTTTGTTTTGACTATTATTCTCCCATAATCAATGTGAAAATCAATGGTAAACGGGTGAAAAATGACAAACTATGCGCGCAGACAGAAGAGGCTCCCGCACGAGGTGATGATGCCCTGTTCCGTCTCTGGAATAACTAAGTTCTCGAAGGAACAAAGCGTTTGAACGCTAAGCTCCTCACACAGTTGCAATCGAGAAAGAGATCTAAGGAATATCGGGATAATCTAGAGACTCTCTAGGCTGTTCCGCGCTGCACAAAAAATGACAGCTGCTGACTTCAAGGCCGATGAACTCAATAAATTCTTCCTTCGTTTTGAAAAAGCTGATAATGACCCAACGCAGCCTGCTTTCGTTGAAGAGAACGATGCTCCACTTCTCTTTCAGCCCAACTTCATAAGAAACTGAAAAACAATCTATCCAGTGGGCCGAATGGAATACCGTCATGGTTCCCGCGAAACTGTGCAAGTCAACTTGCAAGCCCCCTGACGCAGATATACAAAGTAAAACAAAAAAAAACGCGCTGCTCTTTAAAAATTTGTGACGCCTTTGAAACAGCAGTTAGAACAAGGTTTATTTCATACATACGAAGTGCATACCGAAAGTCCGTGCCGCTAGCCTATTGCGGCAGTATGCTTAACTATATTAAGGCCAACCGCTTGTTGTCGTTGTCTCTATTCCTTTCTCAATCATCATCAACCGTTTCGTTGCTGTGACGCAAGTGACAATTTTTTATATTTTTTTCCGAAGGGTCACTTTCCAGACTGGGCTAAAACATGAATTTCACAATCGAGGAACAAAAAGATGTGAAATTTATTGCAGAACCCAGGGAAAAACTTGTTGACATTCATCACCAGCTAAGGGAAGTGTGTGGGGATAATTGTCTTGTTGATAACACCGTTCGCAAATGGGTGCGTGAGTTTGCTAGCGGCAGAGGATCCATCAAAGATGCAGCCCGATATGGAAGGGCAAAAACCGTCATCTCTGGCGAAAACATCAGGCTTGTGGACTCCTTGGTGATGGAAGACATACGTTTGACTGTTGATGAAGTTGTCTCAAGGCTGGGACTGTCTCGTGGCATAGTGGAGAGGATTTTGTCAGATGGACTGCACATGGGCAAAGTCAGTGCTCAATACACCACCTCACACTGGCAGTGTTGTGACAGAGTTCTTGGCTGAGAGGAGCATAGAATCTCTGCCACATCCTCTATTTTCGCCAGACCTGGCACCGAGTGACTTCTGGCTGCTCGGTAAACTGAAAAACTCGCTACGGGGAACACGATATCCATCATGAGCGGCCCTGGGAACCGCAATTTTCCAGTGGTTCAAACGAACACCTGAAAATGACTTCGTTCAGTCCTTCCACGACTGGATAAAAAGGTGGCGACTGTGCGTAGAGAAAGAAGGAGATTACGTGAAAAAGTGAACAAAGAAGTTTCGAATTTCACAGCCGCCTTGAGCTATACTATGATAGAACGGCACAGATTTTTGGTATGCACCTCGTACCTCTAAGCATCCTTCGAGTATGTAAAAGTTTTTGCTTGTTTATCTTCGGCCGTTTTAGTACGAGTGATTTTGCAAAAGCAAATTAAATTTTATTTTTGCACTCGCACCTGGACGCTGACGGGAAGACCTCTCCAACTCACTAGGAATTGCAATTCTTTTCAAGGGTTTTTTTCTCCGCACTTCCGAATCCGTTGAACAGATCTCGGACTCGTCCTTACGTCTGGTAATTTGCAGATGGGAGTTTTGCATCTTGGATGATCATCTTGAGAAATAATGACTTCTTCCGCGTGAACGCAGTTTTCTTCAATTCTGGCTAGTTGTAGACTTCTCTTCTCAGATGAGCCCGTTTCTTGCAGCTGGTGAATCAATCTCAACCTCAACCAATCACGATATGGCTACATTTCTTTCATCCTTTACCAGGAAAATCTAGCAAAATTCTGCTCCTCCCCATCCTTTTGCAAAGAACGGCATTTTTACGAGCAGAAGAGCTCTGGCCCAAGATTGGTGCTCTCCACGCATGCCAACTACTCTTCCGCCGCTGTGTTTCATCGCGCAAAAAAAATTCGAGTTGCCTTCGCGCTCTCACTCCCGTGCTAAAACGGCTGGAGAAAAATTATTAGTGATGAGTCCTCTGGAAAAATGGCGTATGTGCAAAAGATGCAATTCGAGATAAACGGCAAAAACTTCCCTTCGCTAATCTGCAACAGGTCAAAACTAATTTTTCCGTCAAATGGTACCTTTGACCTATTTCCAATTGAACTTGGGGTTTTAACGAATTTCTTTACCATTCATTGCTGGGATGTAGGCAGAAAGTATTTATGCACATACGCCCTTTTTCCATATCCGCGTTGCTGGAACTTTTTCCAACCAGTCTTTCACTATCTCTTTCCAGTTAAAAATCATAATTTACCAATAAATTCATTTACAAATTTCAAATCAACTCTTCCTCAAAGAATGAAAATAAAAATGTGAATATTCAGGACGAGTTTGATTCGCCAATTATTCATCAATGACCCATTATTAATTTATTCATCTGAATCTCCAACTGTTTCATGAATATCGCCAACTTCTCGCATGAGTTTTTTCAAAACATGAGTTTTTCCAGAGAACTCCTGAATTTTAGGACGTTTAACCCTTTCGCTGTTAGCCCGAGTACATACTTCTCGACGCTTTCACGGTGGTAGCCCGAGTACGTACTCGGGCTCTGAAACTCTGTCCTTTTAGGTTGTTTCTCCTCTATTAATGGATGTAACTGACATACATTCGGTATTAAAAAAAAAAAAAAAACATTCTTTTTTATATAACAGGGCTACTTTTTGTCGACGTACATGACTTTCGGAGGCATTGAATAACAAAAAATATTGTGCGTATCTTTATTGACTCATTTTGTAAAAATGGCTTCCTTCGCACTTGGCTTTGCGTTAGATGATGGTAAAAAAGATATACTTTTAAATGCTAATTGTGACATTTACTGTTAGTAGTGAAAATAAAGGTGATGTAGAAATGGAAGTTGAAGCCGAAGCTTGAGATGAAGATTACGATGATGGGGTGGAGATGCAAGCAGGAACAAAGGTAGACCAAGGGGGCGAAAAACTGTTGATGTACCTGAGTTTAGCGAGAATGCTATGCAACTCCCATGCAACTCATTTCTTTGCTTTTACAGGAAATCCTCGGTTGAAATTGAATATTCTAATCTCCCTGAGATAGACGATTATGAACTAATTTTCACAGATGACCCGGGTCAATTTATGTTTCTCGCAATATGTGCTCACGGAAACCTTGAACATGTAATAACAGAAACATACAGGTATACATTTGCATCGGACCTTGTTTTTAATACAGTTCTTAGCAAGTCTTATTCAAGGGTAAAGCAAAGGAGAAACCTCTCTGCATAGGAATTTCCTACATTTATTTTGACACTGATTTTGATGGGTATTGTAATACGGCCTTCTATTCAGTCTCTCTGGAAACTGATGAAACTATTTATCATCCCTGCTTTTGGTAAAATCAAGTCTGTCAATGGATTTATACGCATCTCAAAATTCGTGCACTTTTCTGACAACACTCTGGCTGTTCCTGGAAATACATTTTAAAACACATTTTGGTCTATCATCAATAGTTTTCAAGATAGGACAATTTAAGCGTAAACCATAGTTCGCAGAGACACAGCGCAATTCTTATAACACAGTGGAGGTCGTGAGGGCTTTTTTTTTTTAAACAGTGAAAGGGTTAAGGAATACGGAGAAGTCGTTACAAAAAATGTTTGCCCTGCTCTCTCCTATCTCATGAACTAAGAATCTCAAAGAGCGGCGCGTGTTTTTTTTTGTCTCACCCGGTATAGCAACTGGCTTCGATCCGCATCGATTCCACGTTTCATGAAGAGTCAAAATTGCCCCAATCCCTAAGAAGAGTCCAGTAATGGCGCATGAAGTTCTACCTATTGGCAGCACCTGCTAATCCCAGCTCCTTCACTGCCATCTCAGTCCACAAACAAAAGGCACCATTCTCAAATTCGATTCCACTCCATAAAAGCAAAAAAGATAAAGAGAAGTGAAGAGTCGCTCAGTAATCCTTCCTCCAGGGAGCAGGAATCCCATTGCCAAAGCACTTTGTGGTGAGGCTGAAGTAATTTGAAGGGCAATCCACAATGAAAGCCATGACTAGGAAGCGAAGGACCACCTTGCCTTTGAGCATTCTTAAGCTTAGTCGCTATTAGATTATGGTTGTATAGTCTCTTATTTCCTTCCTCTTGCATTTTGCTTTTGCCATTCCTTTTTCTTGCTTACCTGTCTGTCATGAACTCAAATAGACTTTGTCTCCTGTCATTCATTGAAGAATCTGTGGAGAGTTTCTTCATCAGGGTAAAAATGTAAAAAGGGCATTCAAAGTATACTGGTGACACTTGTAGTCCAAGATGTACATTATTTTAGCGTTTAAGGGTAGAATCATGTTTATCTACATGCACTATGTTCTTATTACTGTTTTTTTTTTAATGTTCTATGACATGTTGAATTCCTTTCTTTGAATGACCATTATGTTTTCTGCTTTGCTTTCTCAATTCTGAAGCTGTGGATACATACATACATACATACAAATATCCAAATACTCAATGACTACCCTTCCCAACATAATGGGATCATGGTTAAAGCAGGTGTCTTTAAATGTTCCCAATCCTGAGCAACAGACTTAAAAGCATTTGGGATGACAAGCTCTTCATAGCAAACCTGCCAATCTGTGGTTTAAAAAGAAAGGTAGGGAGCAAATAATAATTGAACAAGCTGCAACTGATAGCAATCTTCATTGTCATTAACCCCTTCTCCAATATTGCATGTATAAATATTCTTGCATGACCACTTCCTTTACAATAACGTAGAAAGCATAAGTTATAAAAGGGTGTCCAGGAACTAATGATAACAGGATATCTGTAGTCCGGCTTCTTTAGCGTTTCTATAAACCAAAAACAATGTCGACTAGCATTTTCTCACGCGAAGCCTCATGCAATCTCTGTATTCATCAGCCCATTGCATGCATCCCGTCATTGCTGCCGAAAATTCCGATAATTTCTATTCAAAAAATTATTATTCCAACCTCGAACTGGCAAAGGAATTCTTGCTTATGCTAATTTCTGTGCGAATTCCACCTGAAGAATGTTTATAGCTTCTCGGAGATTTGTTCGATCGCGTAAAGGAAGCAAGGAAGGCCGGAAAGAAGGGGGGGGGGGGGGGGGGGGGGGGGGGGGGGGCATGCCCCCCCTCACTTTCCAAGAAAAGAAGCCAAAAAAGAAGGAAAATACCTAGAACTCCCGTACCCTCCCCCCTCCACTTTGTCCTTCCACGCTACGCTTATGACCATAATAGGGACTAAGTCAACGATGACGGGATGTCGCCTCGAACACGTCATTCTAAGCCAAAACGAGTTAAAAAATCAAGGTAAACGTAACCAGTGATCATTGACCTTGGTTGGAAAAATATATAAAAACCTGAATGAAGACGCAAACATCAAGAAGTTCCGTTATTGACTGATTACGTTTCTGACGATTCGAATGTGTTCTATGCAGATCAGATCCTGCCAATCAAGCCGGGAAATGAGAAATGCCATGCCGGTAGTGGTGACGTTGCTTTGGGTTCGTGCGATTGGTCTCAGCTTGAGTCGATTGTGATTGGTCGGTTGTCATTGCCGGCCATTGTGGTAGCGATACGCTTGTGCTAGTCTTCCGTCTTCCGGACCTCTGCTTAGTCCATCACACACTACTCGGTTTATCTTTCTTCCCACAGATGTCGCAGCAATGCAGACAATTACTGTAGAACTGTTCTGAGACGCAGTTACCTTTAAGGGGAGGAGTTAATTTGCACGCATCGGCTAAAACCGTGGAATTCGTGTATTCACAGACACTGTTATCTCCCGAAGTAGAAAAAGAAACATACACTGTAGTCTACGCGAAAGAGAAGGCCCTAGCCAACCCTCCGACCTTTAGCCTTCCGAGTTGGGATCGATAAGAAAGGGTTTTTTTTTTTCTCTTTGCTCCTGTTCCTTTCGCCTTTTTTTTTCTTAGTAGAAAGGCCGGAAGGAACGAAGGAAATGCGCTAGCTTGTTTAGAGGCTCTTCGATATTTGTAAGAAGTCCACCTTAAGCGTGTCTTTAATCGTATTCGTTCTTAAGGAAACGGTCAAGCTCCAACCTCTCGAGGCGTTGGAGAAGCGGCTACGGATGCAGATCGTGCATCATTCGTCCCATCCATGTGTCGCCCGAGAGCTCTCGCTCGAATAGCCGATACTCAACGGATCATAACTTCATATATAATTCTCCGGAGTGGCTCGTCGAAGCTCCCATTTTTATCGATATTTCGATCAGTTCCCGGTCGTAGCAATGAGAGTTCCGGTTCGCCGGATTCGGCGTGAGGGCATCCTGCCAGGGAGAGCAAAAACAGCGCCGTCAATCAGCCTCTCCGTGCATTATCTTGAAACACGCTTCTACTTCACCGTGTCTGGAGCTTCTCCCAGCTTACTCGCCTCATTGTGCATTATGCAGGCACCCTCGGATCGGTACGAGTGACGCACAAATCTCGTTTCGTCAGGGTCAATTTCGCAAGGCAAAATAAGGACTCAAGCATTCATACTTTTTTATTATAGAGGGGGAAGAAATAAAGGCCAGCACAATGTAGTGAAGGAATCTGAAGGAAGGAAAAGAGACACGCTGCCAATACTTGTGTATATATCACTGGTGGACACGAAAAATAATATGGCAGAGATGAAATAAGCTTTCCCGAATGGAAGTGAACGGGATAAACGAAGGGAGTTCTTCCCCCATGAGATTCCTACAGAGAATCAGCGAGTCACATATTGCACTTCACATATTCGTATACCGTGCGACGGTGAAGAAAAGAAGTCCCGGAGGATTCTTTCTTTCTATCTTAAATCTGCAAGCACATGAAACAAAATATCAGTCGTTGTATGTACAAGACGGGTGGAGCGAATGCGATTCCTTCCGCGAAAGAGAGGGTGGGGAATTCTTACCGATCTTTGGCACGACTGCATCATGACGTTTATGGATTGAAATAAAACCAAGGAGGTATTACGAAATTTACCAACTTTTCTCGATTCGAAGAGATAAGAAATTTGAAAAATAAGTATCTTCTTTGATTGAGTTTTGTTTTTCACAGTCGCGAATGAGAAAGGAAGGGTGGGAGGAGTGAGATCAAACGCCATCATAAAAGCGGAAATATTGTTTAGCACAACATTCAAGAAATGAAGAGAGAAATAGCCTAAGAGTTAGAGGGCGAAAACTGGGAAGCAAAGAGAAGAGTGAGACGGATGGAGTTGGTGAGTGTCGAGTTCAGGTGCAGAGAGAGAGGGTGGGAGGTTCTTCGGTCTCGGAGATGGGACTTGGGTTCTCGTGCAACGCTCCGTGTTCCTTCTCTTTGATCGGGGGAGGCGGATCCCCCGAATCCATAGACCTCGACCTCGACAATTTCCTCGCCGAAAGCGACGGCATGAACCCGATTCCTTGGAGGAAGAGTCGCAACGCTTCCGACACCTTATTCGGCATCTCTTCCAGGGGCATCCCGCAATCCGACAGCTTCAACCACTCGGTCTTACTCGCATTCAAACGGGAATTCAAAGTGACGGTGTCGTCGAGATGGGGCGAATAGGCTCCCGTAACGAGGAGACACGGCATCGTCAACGTCTTCCCGGCTCGTTGAAGCCCCAGATCCGATCGCGTGATGTACGTCTCCAACAGCATGCTCAGATTCTTGTGGTTCATCCTCTTCGCGAAGTACTGCTTGTAAACCTGGACCAAGTCGTGGTTCCGCCGCTCCTGATTCTTTCCGAAATGATGCCAGAGGAGATACTCGAGGGCAGTGGGAGTGAGCTGATTTGCATTCCTCAGATTTCGTATGTTCATCTTTTGGTATCCCCATTCGATCCATCCCGCGTGAGTGCTCACGCAATTGACCAAACACAGCGCATCGACCTGGTCTGGGTGAGTGAAGGCGTACCGAGCCAGGACGTTAGCCCCGAAACCCACGCCGAGACCCGTGAAATGTTTCACATTAAAGTGCTTCAAGACGTCCTCGATCTGTTTGGCCAGTTCGTCCATGGTCGGGTACACGTAGCCCTCGGGGAGATTCTCGGCATCCTCTGCTTGACCCGGGGCGTTCACGTGATACACGCACGTGTTTTCCATGAGGATCCGCATGTCCACGTAGTTGAAGAAGGTTTGGAAGTTGGAGACGGAATTCATCCCGAGGTCGTGGTACGTGACGAGGGTGTTTCGCTTCCCTCCGCCTTGAACACTCACGGTGACGGCTCCACGAGATGTGTCCACTTTCACCTCCCTCACATTAGACCATCCTTCCCGGGAAAGGATCCGCGCCGTGGGGATGTGGAGTTGGATGTTCTTCAGCTCCATCTCCTCAGGGACGTTGCCGTTGCTCGGCATTCCGAGCAAAGGCTCCTCCGCCGCCGCCATCGTCGCCGTCTCCGTCTCTTCACCTGCTCGCACACAAACACATCCGCCAACCGTCACAAGATGAAAAAACTACGATCCTTCACTAATCCTATCTCTCCATCACAAAGGATTCATGCACAATGGTGCACACCTGGTGCCCATCACCGCTGAGTACCGTCCAGCCTCCTAAAGGAGGCTGGAGGATGCTCGACGCGACTTTTTTTTTATACAAACCTTTAGCAAATACTTTTGATTCAGTTTTTGGACCAGAAGGTACCGTCACAAAAGCATCACATCGAACGAAACTTTTTTTATAGCTGAAAAAATCTCAATATCGCGTTTCAAACCCATAAATCTCCCCTCTAACTGCTGCCATTTTCAAGAAACTTTTATCGTGCGTAAGTTGATATATTCCCAAGAGCATCGTGAAATTTCATTCACACTCATTGTCCCGAGGCAAGGTAATGAACTATTGTTGAAAGGACGTTGGATACCGAAAACTAAACAATTTTAAGGACTGACAGTCGAGTGGTGGAAACGCCTTCTCGCTGTGGTTGCTCCTCATCCAAGTCAAACCTGACATGCATTGCATTAAAATTCATTCTTTGAGCTGGTCTATTGTAGATGACTTTGATCAATTAATTACAGATTGATCAACAAGAATCGCTACAGAGAACTTACAGTATGTTTCTCTATATCTTCCCCTCTTCTACATTTAGGAGACAGACGAAGTCTCTTCATTACGAGCAGGGGAGTGGTCCGTCCATATTCAATCTCCCAATTATTTTCATTGCTCGTGCGTAGTCTTGCTTTCGCAGAACGAATGTGGAGAATAATTGAAAACATCACTGGGAAAATATCAGTCTTTGCAGAGAAAGCTTTTTTCGGTAGCATGTGCAGAGACATGAGGAAAAACGAAACGAAATGTACAGATTCACCTTTACAGCCACAAGGTAATGGATGAAGCATATCACCTTCACGGTTGTGAATGCCTCGGGTCTCTCCATCGAGGAATAACTCAAAATTGCACGTAGCAGGCGTACGTGAGGTCAATGAATATCCGAAGTCGCATGATTGTACACAGTCATGCAACAGTCACATCATGTAACCCCTTAGTCACAACTTCTCAATATCTTCCTCCTCAACTTTTTCCACATTGGCGAATCTGAATCCCCTAAACATATTCACATTATGAAAATAAAAATGGTAGCTCCATCATTATTTGCATATCTCAAGCGGTACTTTTTTTTTCGGAAACGCGCACATCAAAGAGGGAGTAGGAGGATGAATGCCCTTCTCCAACAGCAGGCGAAATTTCTCAGAAAACGCATTAAAAGTTTCAGTCCCGTGCCCGTAAAAATACGAAGACTTCAGTATTAGTGGGTGCCTATTTACTCTTGTCAAGTCTGCACATTATCGCCGACAAAATTTTTTTTTACTAACATAGATGTTCATTCACTTTAAAGTCGAGGAAATATCGCTACTGACAGGACGTAAATACATCATGATAACCTAGCATTTCAAGTGCTTGAAGTGGCTGAAATGACTGGGCACAAAGTATAGTAGCCATCTTAATGCCTGATGCTTTTTGCTGTCTGATATTTGAGAGATCACCCTTTAATACATTCGGTCCCATTCCATAACTTCCTGGGATAACTGGAGTGTCATGAGATGGATTTGCGACTTTATATTACGTGTTAGCGATGAGTCATGTCCAAGGAGGTATTAATAAATATAAGAATATATACCAATCTAAGCATATTCGGTTCATAATTAAATCTGCATTATATTAATTTATATTATATCTACATTATATTTAACATTATATTTATCTTAAAATGAAAATTTTAAAAACATTTAAATATATATATAATTTAAATTATACATATATATACGTAAAAAATTTTATTCAAAGAAGTTCTTCAGCTTTTATGAATTTTCTTCGCTAAAAAAAAGTATTCGCTAATTTATCTCCCTCAATAACTGATTTGGGACTAAATGCCTCCATAATCCATAATTACTGCGCAAATATGTATCCCTCGCCTTTTGTGTTTACCTTGCCCTTCGTGAAGTATTTATGCCAGCTATTGCTAACAGGGAGGAGCGTTCAAATATTATTTCATCATTCAAATATAATGTAAGAGTTAGACGAGTGAACTTGCGACAATATATATATCCAGAGTCTTCGCCTCTTTTGTGGCTATTTCATGTTTAGTATGAATGGCTATAGAACACTGACTCAAGGTTTCAGTGTTGTAGAGAACGTTCCATTCATGTGATACTTGGAATGAAGTCCAATCGTTATCATTCTTGTCAAACTGGCTCCATTTCCTCACTTGGGTCGGAAATTTGTGATGGGACCCTGTAGACTGTAGAGCAGGGGTGCACAGCACAAAAGACTGTGAGAGTCACTTGCGACTTTTACTCACATACCGCCACCAGTCATAGCAGGGCGCAAGCAAGGACCTCGCGGGCCGTATGTTGTGCAACCCTGCTCTAGAGAAATGGAGTGCTATGAAAATGTTTCGGAAACTGGTTTCCAAGCTAAGCCTTCAGAAGATAAGCAGATCCGAAGGGTCAATATACTGCAACACTGATCGACACGATCACAATGGTCAATATAACATCTTTTTCCACTTCTAAGGCACATGTAGCATACCAGCTCAAGCCTAACTTATCAACAGTTTCACTCGTTTTATGATTCGAACAAAAGCTGACGTTGAAGACATATACGAAGACATAGAGCCAATATGACCAGTTGGGGGAACTAGGTGAATCTGGACACAGGGATCTCCACGTCCAGCAAGAAGTCTAGCATGCTCATCATCACGGTTCACAGTTCCAAAAAGAAAACCTAAGGCTTTCTTAAGGCCCATGGTTATTCATTAAGAAATGCTGTGAATGAGTCGGTTTACCCTTGCTTAAACTTCAGGGGTCTTTTTTTTTGGGGGGGGGGGGGTCTTTTCGCATGTGAGTCCCGAGTTTGACCGCCTCGGATTCTCGACTATCGCCTTTTTGATACTCCCGTGGCATTCCTGTTTCGAGGAGAGATCCCCTCACGAATGTTTCTAACGAAGGAAATGCATTAAATACGAAAGCTGCGGCAGAGGGCACTCGGACACCTGACAGTCACTACAGGAGGGAAACGTCCTTGGGTTCAATGACCGTCGACATGACAACACCCCCGTCCCTGAATCCGTATGTAAACCTGTACATGTGGCTCGGCCAGGGACGCATCTAGGGGGATGTTAGAAGTGTTGAAACCTCTGCATTGTGACTTTGATCTTCATCCCTGACGTCATTTTTTAGTTATCCTCCCACCCACAAGCATAGACAAGAAGGGGTGGAGGGTGACTTATGGGGTCCCGGACCCCACCATCTCCAATCTTGACCTGTCCCCAGATCTCCCCAGGATATTTGTTTCATGCTATGCTACGCCCCCCATCCCCCTTCCATTTGAATATCGTGGATGCGTCACTGGACTCGACCACCGTTTTCCCGGTTCGGCTATATAAGGGGGCCGACCCTGAAAGAAAAAGAACCGTGCAGAAGCGGGAAATTGAATCACTTTGATGATGTGAGTGATTCCCCTCACGACCGTTAACGGACTGGCATCTGTAGAGCCCAAGGGGTCCAGATCGTACGAAAGTCAAATGGTCCCACGAAAAAAATCCCCAAAGGGGGTAAATAACCGAAAATCTGTCGCGCAAAAAAAATAACCTCCGGTCCAATTTCCACCTAGTAGTGATACCTTCGCAAGCTTTGCACACGAGACCTATTTCATGAGGAAAAAAAACAACGGGAAAAAAAGTAGGACAGGTCCATCACGTGCCGATGTTTTTGCCCGGACATCCGGGAGGTAGCTCTGCGCTTCTATAGCTTTCGTGCGGGGTGCAGAACGTATAGTAAGAGAAAATAAAGGAATTTCTTAGGACTTCGTGTGGCGGGCAGATGAACCCTAAGTTATGGCACATGTATTAACCTTCAACAGGTCTCGAGAGATTATAGAGGGTTTTCATGGCTCGATCGATTGCGGAGAGAAGCGGAAACGATGCCATATGCTAACCCACTCGAAAGGATCCATTTCTGAGAGAGCTGCGAGTCATGCGTGGAAATCCTCCCAATCCATTTCCAGTGAAGTCTGCCTACGCAAGAGCGAGTTTCGATATTTGGCTTTCCTTTTAACTGGCTTTACGACGTACAATCGAATCTGATACTGATCGAAACCGACCGAAATGCTCCTCGCGTGAGCGTATTAGCGGCCGGGCTTTCGGTGCACGTCGTCGAAAAAATCGGCATCGAGGCCAGAAGGAAATTCCAGAAAACAAGATCTTAAAAATGTGTTCCTTGGCGCAGAGAAGTGGAAAAGAGTTTAGCTACGCCGCAAGTCGATTGTAGGATCGTGCGGCCGACGAGACTCTTGCAATTTGTTCGCCCATTGAGGCAACTTTAGCCGTCACTCTCTTTTGGTTCGTGATCAAGAGATTGGTTTCAAGAGATTGGATCCCCGCTGATGAGGATACTGCCACGAAATATTAACACGTCAAGCCTTGAAGCCCCTCGAAGTCGCTATGTTGCTCTCGGCATTCTGGTCGATTCTTCCGGTTTCACTTACTTCATTCATCTCTAGTTTTGATGTGGAGAAACGGTCGCCCGACACGGCTACATAAATGTATGCTTCTACGTGGAATGCGATGGGAACGAGAGACTTCCTATCATTGAAATAGTTGGCTTACCGGATTCTGGTCTCGTTCGATGCGATGTATCCACAAGTGTTACGCACACATACTCTCGCTAAAACGAGTCCGTAGGTTCCGAATCTCTTCGGATCGGTTCTTATTTACGCAGAAAATACGTTCCAGAATTCCCAGATACTGGCTCGGCTGGGTGCATACTAACCAACCCCAAAGGAAAATGACGAGTTCATCGGTACCACAATTCACGGAGTGAGCCTTGCTCCATGGCGGTCGAAGGGCTTTTCAATTCTTCGTGCTTTTCTCTGCTTTTATTTCTCATCGAGTCTGTAAACCAACACACCCGCATCCCGAGACAATTGGCCCGTATTGCCTCATGGGAGGACTACAGGAAGGCATCGATTAACCAGCACATCGGATACATGTTTTCCTCGAAGTACAGCGCAGCAACAAATTTCGTGCCCGTTTTAATTCCGCAAGGCCCAAAGGATCGCGATATTAAGTCACTACAATGTACTTTTCCCGAGAGGCAGTGGGATCCTGGGACCTTTAAACCCCCCCAACCCCCTCATTCCCGTCCTCCGCCGTTCTCTCCTCAGTCTATCCGTATTTGATTTGTGCAAACCCGTCCGAGCGACTTTTCTCTATATCGGCCTGCGTGTCGAGGTTAGCAAGTACCATCGATACGAGTCCAGCGATCGACACTCAAAAGCACTTGGACGATACACGGCAACTCCATCGGCACGTTATTGGAATCCGCACTGTCCTCTTCGTTCTACATCGGTGAGAGGCTTCTCGATTGAAAGTGCTTTCGGTATTTTCAGTACTATTTGAATGGTTGAGAAGGCAAATCACGATACTCGGGCAAATCTTTCGGAGTCCGATGTGA